GAAGAGGACTCCATAATGGAAACAATAATATTATCATATTTTTTTTGTGGGTAAAAAAATCCCTAAGGTGTCAAGACTGAATAAACGAGAAAGCTTTATTTGCTGAATATGCAATGAGTTATGCAAACATTGGAGGATCAAGCTTGACGAATAAGTTTTGAGGCTTTGGCACAAAACTCGGAGAATTAATTAGAAGATGGTTTTAGATGAGAGCGCAGGCCTCCTCTAGAAAAATCCAAGAGTTTGTTCAATGCTAATACTAGTCCACGGCCTGGACTAGTATTTGAGTTTGCTAAACAGTTCATTGGTCTATGGATTCACAGCAAGCAGGAATTCTGACACTACAAATGGAAGGGTTCTGACCGATGGAGAAGATGGTGTAGATTCCAAAGGTCTGAGACATCCTGGCCCTCAAGGAAAAGCTGAAGGAACCGGCTGCTGGGCTAGAGGAGAGATGACCTTAGGATGTTAAAATAAGTATTCCCAACTAGTTGAAGAACTGTCAAATGGAAAAGGGACTGGATTCTTATTTTACCATTTCAGAGTGCAGAACTAGGATTAAGAAGGAGAGACAGAAAGGAAATAGACCTTAAACACTGCAGATTCCAGGCCCAGGCTGTCCTCCATGTGGCGTATGTAATTGCTTTTAATTCTCACAAACTCCGTGCGTGGCAGCTGTTACCTCCTTAACCATGTAGTAGAAGGAGCAATGGGGGTTGGAGAAATTAAACGATACTGTCACTACGAATGGTAGTAAAAACACTATTACTACGAGTAAAAAGCAGTGCATGTATTGTCTACTGTGTGTCCTCAATCCTTTGAGTATGTTATCCTTTTGCCTTGTCACAACAACCTTAGGAGATAGATACTATTTTCGTATCCACTTTGCTGATGAGGGAACCAAGGCACAAGGGTTAAGCCACTTGCTTAGGGCCCCGAGTTGATCAATGTGAAGCGAGGCAGTTTGGCTCTGTAGCCAGACCACTTTCACCCTCACATGATTCTGCTTCTCTGCTTTCAGAGTACTTGACAAGTTCTATCCTCCTAGCAACAAAACGAATTAGGCCTTATTATTTCCATTTTACAGATGAGAAAAAATAAAACTCAAAGGAATTAAGGAAGTTGCCCAAAGTGAATGACTGAGCCAGAATTATTACTCAGTCTTCAGGCTTCAGGCCAAAGTCTTTGGACCATGCTCAGCTTTCTCGGAGGTGCAGAATCTGGAACAGAAACTTCCTAACAAGTAGAGCGATCACCAACCAGAATGGGTTACCCAGGAGGATGAGAGGGAGCTTAGGAGCTCCCCTTCTGTGAAACCTTGGAATGAAACTTTACGTCAGCTAGGCAGGTGAGGGGAAAGGGTATTCAAGCGTCGCATAAAGCATTGAACCAGATTGCCCCTTTCGTCCTGCTCTGAGACTTTACGATGCTGTGTTTTCTTCTCATCTTCCCATGTCATCTTGTTTTCCCCTGGGTGTACTCAAATGTATGTGCAAATCTCACTCTGATATTTGAATCTGGCTCTGGGGTTTGGATTGCCTGGGTAAGATACTCACTTGCAAGGATATTCGACACGGTGCCTTGGGGGAAATGTTAGGTCATTCGAGAAGTCAGCAGCATAAACTGTAAGTGGTAAGGTCGTAAACGAAGGAGGAGAGTCAAGTGTGAGGGTCTTCAGACCAGGTGAGCAGGTGGATCTTCCAGTGGTTTTGAGGATCTCCCTTGGACATACTGTCGCAGAGAAAATATTTGTCTTGACTTTTCTTTTCTAGGTGTTTATCAAATGCCCAGTTTGGGAGTAGAAGCTTCCCGAGGGTTGTCTTAGCTTTAATTATCTCCACTGCAACTTGCCCACTCCACCAGAGTCTTATTTTCAATTCTGAATGTCTGTGAGTGGAAGTGTCTTCCTGCCTATGATCCCCAGGTGATATTTGTTGTACTGTAAATAGCTCTCACTTTCTTGTCTTTTGAAACCACCTCTTGCTTCATACTGTGTCCTGTGGATAACCAAGGACCTCCTTGCCCCTGGGTCGGGGGATCTATACACATTCTCCGTTTGAGTCTTTAAACTTTCCACGCCCCCTGGTCCCTTACCTTGAATCAGTCTTCCGTAGGCGTCCCACACGTGTGCTAATGGTTTCTCTTTGAGGACGTCATTTTGGTGGTGTTGGTGGCAAGCCTGCTCTGCTTGTTTTGCTGTGGGCTTTGAACTCAACTCTGGTTTCAGCTCAAAGCTGAGATCTTCCTTCCTGTCCTCTCCATATTTCTGTTCCTTGGCCTTTCTTTGTTAATTCTGCTAGGCATGTAACTATTTCTCTGGAGGAGGTAGAAGGGTGGGAAAGAAGTTAGAAATGATTTAGAAATTGGCTGGAGTTCCCCATAGTCTCAGAAGGTTTATTACCCAATATGGAGCTAAGAGGGGAAACGAATAGTGTTTCTCATGTGATGACGGGCTGCTCTGAAGCGGGTTAGGTCAGGGGCCTATTTGTAACAAAGGGGTTCCATCTGTGCTACTTTCTATTTAATAAACTCAAAATGATGACGCTGATGTCCTTTTTATAAATTGGGATGGACTCCTAAAGGATCTCGATATAGAGGCTATGTCTATAGTATGTAGCTGAGGTACAGAATGGAGCTGTGTCTGTGCACTACCCTATAGGGTGAAAGCTGGGAACTAAAGAAATACTAGACTGATAGGTAGATAAATATTGAATTTATTTGTGTATTTAGAGGTCCAGTGGTTTATTTACTAAATTCTCATTCATATGTTGGTGGGTTAAGTATAAGTGTAAATAGTCCCAGTCTAGAGAATATTAATATCTTAACTTTGGGCTTAGCAATGTTGCCTGTCACTTTTGAGAGCGACATGGTCATCTGTAGTAGGGCCTAGTCATTTATTCTCTGGGAAAACTACTTACAGAAGACAGGAGATGTTCATAAGATTGGAACCCCTGAGACTGAGTGTGATGAAATTTTGGTGATGGAAAGGAAAACATCACACATATACATATGATGATATATGTTTATATATAAACATGGATATAATCAAGAAGGTTTCCAGACTACCGATGAGATCTCAGTGGATTAGTGGATTTTCTCTGTGGTAACAGCCTATTAATTCCTAACCTTTCCAACAGGACAAATCCATTAATTTTTTGCAGAAGTTAAACTTCTCTGGGGGCTCCCAATTAGACCTCCTGTGTTCCTTCTTCCCTGTCATCTGCTTTTCTCTCTTCTCCTTCCTCTCTTTTCTGACATAGATAAAAGAAAACCAAAAGGTTAGTTATCAAAGAAATATGAGACTACGTGAGACTGTCATGTTGCATATTAATGTCTTTATTTCCTTCACTGAAATTGTCATTGTTAAAACAGATTTTTTTGCTTTAAAAAAGAAAAAAGAAGGAGGGGGCGGGTGGGGTGGCTCACGCCTATAATTCTTGCACTCTGGGAGGCCAAGGTGAGTGGATTGCCTGACCTAACAGATTCAAGACCAGCCTGAGCAAGAGTGAGACCCTGTCTCTAAAATTAGCCAAGCATTTTGATCGGCCCCTATAGTCCCAGCTACTTGGGAGGCTGAGGCAAGAGAATCGCTTAAGCCCAAGAGTTTGAGGTTTCTGTGAGCTAAAGACACCCCAGTGCTCTACCAAGGGTGACATAGTGAGACTCTGTCTCATTTAAAAAAAAAAAAAAGGAAAAAGAAAAAATTAAAGCCTATCGAGGCAACATGTTTAGGAAATCTTGCATTGAGCTTTCAATGTGTCCACTGCATGTCAACTATTAAGGGTGGGTCTGTAATATGAAATATTGTTCCTTATTTAACGTTTCACGTTCTGATCTGTGCATTGCTTGCTTGTTTCTCTCGTGACCTTCTCTTTGCATTTTTAACTGCTTCTTTTTGACTCATGATCCAAAAATTAAGTGCTCATTCCTACAGAGAAATTAAAAGAAGTTGTCAACGTAGAGTTAATATAGTTAAAGCATCTTTAACGCTGCCACAACCCCTTAAATAATTAAAACTGTATGCTTGAAGAGTCAGATTTGCATTTCTTTACCAAGTTTATGTAGTACACTTTGTTACACTCGATTAAATGAGAATGTTCTGTTTCATTTTCTTTGCTTGGGGTTGATCCTTTTGCTTTTTCATTCTTAGGCCCTGGTGTAATTTCACAGTGCTTAGGTCTCTAAAACTATACATATATTAATGCATATGTAGATATACACATGGCTGTTCCAAGGCTTACTCTTTGTACTGAATAGAATCTTTGCCCAAGGCATGTGAGCATTCTCAGTAAGTGACCTAAGGTGTAACTGGGCAGGAGATAATTCATGGTAAAAATGAGTTTGACGAAGTTCTTATAAGATCAGATATACACATACATATATATACATGTATACGTATCTATACATGGTACACACACACACACACACACACACATATATTTGCAGCCCTATCATTTGGCATCATTTTCCCTCCCTACAATTTGATTTGTGAATCTCTTAGCAAGAAAAAGGACCCTACAGGTGTTGAATGGTGGCCGAGCATGTGCAGACTGCTCTCTGTAAATTAGTTCATTGCTTAAGTTATGCATGTTTAAGAAGGAATAAATTAGTTATCCATTTCCTAATGAGTAGTGGGATCAATTGGAGCATGATGAGAGAGAAAGAGCATAATTTTACTTCCCCAGTTGGGGTTCTACATCCCTAAACTTGAGCATTAATCACTCTATCAGCTTCCTGGGTTATTTCAGCGCAACATGTAAAGGTATTCTTTCCTTTTAATTTTCCTACCAGGTAAGTCAGTCCTTTTGAATTTGCCCAGTGGGGTTGTAGATGGGGGAAGTGGTCCCCTTTCCATCCCAGCTACCCTTGGTTACAGTGGGCCCTGTGCCTTTGCGTCAGTTTGGGTGAGTTCACGGCTAACAGTCGATGTGTATGTGCGATGACAATTGCGAGGGTTCTGGTGTGTTTAACTGTTATGGGATCTGTTATGTCTACTTTAGGGTCGACCCCATCCCATATGACACTCCAAAGCCGGCGGGCCACACGCGGTTTGTCTGCGTCTCAGACACGCACTCCAGAACAGATGGTATCCAGATGCCTTATGGGGACATCCTTCTCCACACAGGCGACTTCACCGAGCTGGGACTGCCCTCAGAGGTTAAGAAGTTTAATGACTGGTTAGGTAAGGAATGATTGCGTTCTGGCGGCCCCAATTAACCTTTCCCGTCCGAGTGTCACTCACTGCGTCCTAATTGAATTAGAACACTTGGAAGCCAGCTCAGCCATTTCTCGTATGATACGCAGTGGTGTCTAGCTTTAATCCAATTCTGTTAATTAAAGATGAATTTTTTAGATATTTAATTTTACTGTGCATCCTTTCAGTGCCTGGCCTTGGTGGCTCTGGGGCAAAGGGATGGAAAGCTTTGAAAACGATCTCATCTCACTCATTCTGCTTTAATGAGGGCATTCATTGGCACACAGAAGACCTAGAATCATATTTTAAATTCATTGGCTCTGTAATCTTTCCCAGATATTAAGAGCAAAGATGTACAAATGCCCTACTAGGAAGGGAACATTTCTAAGAAAGGAAGAGGATGTAAAAGTCCTTGTATGAAGCAAAATCCCTATAGCACATGTCTGCTTGGGAGCAGTTTTCCTAAGTAAACTGGAGGGTGTCCTAAGACCCCTGGAAAGATAAGATATTCTGCTGCTCTGAAAACCTGGGATAGGAAAGTGCCTTGTGCACTGTAAAAAGGATAATATTACAGCAAGTTTGTGGTTGCTTTAGAAGTACTCACAGGTCAGGGTTGCTACAAATTGTTGGATCCTGGGTCAGGCAGTTGCCCACAATTAGCATTACCAGGCAATCGTGGGGTTATTCATACCTAGATTAGGAGACAGATTTTTTTTAAGAATCTTCATCAGGGAGGGAAAGAAAGTGTTCTGAGATTTTAGAATCTCTAAAGACACTAAAGAATTATACAGTAAAGAGCAGAAATCACTCTGGAAGAATAATGTCATGAATAACATGGTACCAATAAAAATTTCTCGGGAGATGAAGGCAGAAACTTAAAAAGTTTCTTTTCCAGCAAATGAATGCAGGGTTTGGGAAATTTTAAAATTTTTGATTAAATGATAAAACGTATGTGTTAATGTATGTGGAAAAGTATGTGTTAATGTGTGTGTTTAATAGTATGCATTAAAGACGTGAAAATATTTTTTAAATAAGCACTAAGGTTAACTGATAACACAACTATTTTGATTATTCATACCACCTTGATCATCTGTCCATATTTTATGTAATTGACATCAGAGTACATGTCTGCTCTTTGATTTTTGGCTATTTTAATTTAATAGTATTTTTTGGTAAGACTTCCAATATTTTTGCATAATTTTCATATTTTTCCTTTTTAATAGCGACACGGCATTTATATTGTTGGCTACGCCTTTATTTAATAAGACATCCCTCTTACAAATGAACATTTAAGTTGATGTCAGTTTTGCCTCTGATAGATAGTCCTGGACTGTGCATTTTTGTGTGTCTGTGTCTTCTGGCTTCCACTAATGTATTTGTTAGAGCGAAACACTGGGTATTAGTTACGTTACTAGGTCTGAGGATCTGAAATTCATGATGGTTCTTGCTGTGTACCCTTCATTATGGCATTTTGCTTTCTAAGGGCGTTGTAACTGTGCTTCATTAACAGTGAATAAATGTATAGGAATCAGTTTTACCACAGTCTTGGCAGCACTGGATGTTAGCGCTTTTATATTTTGTGCTGTTTTAGTAGGTATTCGGTTATCTTACTTAAAACAGCAAGATTTTAAAAGATCCTTTAGCATAATCTCATTTTTAGAAACGAATACAAATGTAGAGAAGTGAAGTGACTTTCTCGGTCTCCTTGTGGCAGAGCTGGGTGTACTCCAGATCTTTTCACTTCGGTTTTTTTTTGCCTCTGTAACATTTTCTTTCAAATACAATTATCTCTTTATTTTAGCAACTTCTATCTCGGAACTACTGGCAGCTAAAATTGTCTTGAGGTGAATTTTGACAGTTTTAAACTATCTGTAACAGTGAAGTCTCAGCACAAATTATTGAGCTATGTTGAAAATGTTGATTTTTAAAGAAAGGGAAGAGCACTGTGGGAAGTTTACAGAAATGCTAGATGGGTTTGATCCTGGCTACAGTCTTGTTTAGCCGCTGACCTTGGGCAACGGAGTTAACCTCTCCTTACCCCTTGGGTTCCCTGTGCAGAACTAAGGCTTAATACTTTCTGGACTGTTGTGCAGATTAATCAGTAAATGATTGCTGCTAGTAAGTTTTTGTGGGCCATTAATAACTGAATGGGGAATGTGGTGAATGAACCAGCCATGGATATTTAAAGGGTAAAAACAAGAAGAGGTCAGAGAAATTATTTAGTAGATTAGAAGTAAACACTGGGAGATTTTATAAGGGAAAGTGCTCTATAAATGGAAATGTGCCGTAACCAGGGAAATGAAATGATAAAGAAGTAAAATGCTGAGGCCCAGCTGCAGGGTCAGTTCCTTCTTTTCTCGTTTCCCCTCTGGTCTGGTGAGGCAGGAGGAAGAAGTCTCAGCATGGGGCACAGAATTTGAGACTTAGAGACCAAGGGAGCCCCTGGAATATGAGTAGAGAAGTTGGGGTCTCCTTGAGAGAGCCCCGTATAGGTCCCTGTTACCTGGGCAACCTTGTGGCTCCGAGGGTGAGAGGTGGTGTGTGATTACACTCTACCACTTGGCTCAATCAAGAACCACTCACCTGAAAAGGGGGCTTTTGACAACGGCCACCAGGTAGCCTGGCAGTGTGGAGTCAGGGGTCAGATCAGTCCAGAGCTTTTGCCATACAAGGTCATACAACTCTCCATGAGGCATGGATCTCACAGATTTGGCAGGCTTTTAGAATCCAAAGAATCTCTAATTGATTTCCATCTTCATATTCTAATCTAGACTACCCTGATTATTGAAAAACCCCCTGACCCGTATGCTCCCTTACTCTCCTGTCCTGCTGCACTGATCTATTTCTGTGGCAGGCCAGGCACTCCTTCTATACCTCTAACCTCCCTCTAAAGTTGCTACCGCTGCCCCCATTTTACAGATGAGGAATCTGGAGCTCAGCTGGGTGAACTTACCCGCCATCAGTTGGTAGACAAGAAGCTCAGGAGGCTGAGTGAGCTACCTAAGTACATTCAGCTCGTAAACCGGAGGCTGGCTGACTTCAGAGCACAAGCTTGTTTTCTTTATCATTCTGTGATAATTACAAGTAGGCTTGGGCATCCGAAAGCTTGAAAGTAAAGCTGTAGCTTCTGCTAGCTTCATGTGCAAATTGATTAGTAGTTTGGCCATTTGCTAATATCGCACACATTTGAGAGATGTGTTTAAACCCTGCCCATCTTGAATCTCACCCTGGCCTACCAACTACGAGGCCTGAAACTCCATCATGTGTTCCCTGTTGGTTCAGGGATGACAGACCCTGATTAACGTGTACCTATATCACCTGGCATGTGTGACATGGAAAGCTATTAAGACAAGGTAGTTTATGAGATCAGCTAGCACAGCACAGCGTCATAAGGAGATAGAACTCAAACCAGGCACCTTCCAAGGATGGGCAGGGAGGATAGCATGCAGTGACCATGGGCAGCTGGAAAGAGCCAGCTTTGAATTTGCTACCTTTGGTAAGTTTCTTAAACTCCTGAGCTTCGATTTACTCATTTAGAAAATTGGCACCACAATCATCATGTACTCCATGGTTGCTGTGAGATTATACTCTGTGATATAACTCACACCATTCTTAGAACAGCATCTGCCTGTCGACCACTTTCAATATACAGTGTAGAAGGAGATAGCAGAGCCAGTGGGATGTAGGTTTGGAAGGCAGAAACTAAGAGGGACTGGGCCTGGGCATTGAAGGATTCAGCACGTGAGGGTGCTCTGAAATAGCAAGCCTTCCTGTGAACAATGACATGAAGGGGACAGAGCGTCAGGACTGGAAGAGGCCTCGGAGGCCCCAGTGTCCCATCTCCCAGTTTGATAGAAGCGGAAATGGAGGAGAGATGGAGTGAATTGCCCACGTTTCTCAGATAATTGATGGCCAAACTGGGACTAGAATGTGGACAGGGCAGGAGGGGTGAGTAATAAGTAGTAATGTGTATCGTCTGTGAGAGCGAGAGTCTGTACCCCCCCCCAGCTGCAGGTGTCATTCAGAAAGTACTCACAATGGCTTGTGGAGAAGGTATTACTAGCATCTCTTTTACTTGAAGAAACTATGCACCTTGGTGAACTTAACTTACTTAGGATCACACAATTAGAAGGTAACCTCAGGATTTGAACTTAAGTCCATTAGAATCCAAGTCCCAAGTGTATTTTCTTAGTATTCTCTACTGCTGGTCTAGGACCTGGGATCCCTCCTGGAGTGACCATATCCTAAGTAAAACATGGTTCTTTGGATAAGTGCCTCTCCTTAAAACACATACGTGCGCTCAGCATCTAGGTGGGGTTGCTTCTTGCAAAAGCTGTTTTGTGGTACAGCCTTTACCCATGAGTTGGCTGATGGGCTTCTCTGTGAGGGGGGAGCATTCTCACCATTTGGTGTGGACAGCTTCAGGGATAGTGATTTATAGCTGAGTAAATACTCAGAAAGAACACTAAAGGCTGAGCATGGTGGTTCACATGTGTGATCTCAGCACTCTGGGAGTCGGAGGTGGGAGGATGAGTTGAGGGTAGGAGTTTGAGACCAGCCTGGCCGGCATAGTGAGACCCCAGTCTCTAAAAAAATGTTTTTTAATTAGCGGGGTGTGGTAGTGAGCATCTATAGTATTAGCTCAGGAGGCTGAGGCAGGAAGATTACTTGAGCTGAGGACTTGGGGGTCTACAGAGAGTGACAAGCCTGCCACTGCACTCCAGGCTAGGTGACATATGACAGGGAGAGACCTCATCTACGCGCGCGCGCGCACACACACACACACACACGAGGCAGCCGGTCACATAAGTTCTGGGAAATAGCCTACATTGCCTTATCACATAAGCATTTCATCGTACCAGTCCTTGAATGAGTAACCAATGGCAGGACCTGGAAATCTTATCCCCTTGGGCAAGTCTTTCGCACTTATGAACTCTTGAATTATGAATGATCAGGATATTCTAACAGCTGCAGCCACTGCTCCAGTG